GCCCAAAGGCCCTGGGGGGACCCGGCACCGCGCAGCGCAGAACCCAGCTCGGGCCAGGCCCTGCCCCGGGGGCGCCCTTGGAGCAGCACCGGACCCGGGCCCGCCCCTCTGGCCAGGGCGGCTCCTGCGGCGATTTGGCCCGTGCCCTGGAGGCCGCGGGTGGGCTCCGGACCCGCTCGGGGGCCCTGGGGGGGGGCGCGCCCCGAATTCGTTTTGCACAGAAATAAAAGGGGCGGTTCCCCTCGACTCCCGTGGCCACGCCCTCTTTGGGTGAGGCCTGTCAATCACTGCCGGAGGCCGCCAATCAGCGGGCAGGCGCCCGGGCTTTTGGCCCCTGCCGCTGGAACCGGGCAGAAGAGCGCGCGCTGCCCCGGGGGCCCAGGCGCTCTCCGGGTACGTGCGGCCGCGCGCGGAGCCCAGCGCCCCAGTGCCGTGCGCCCAGGGGGCCGGGGGCCCTGCGCATGGGGCCGGCTCCAGCGGGGGGCCTGCAGCGGGGGCGCCCCGGCGGGGGCGGGAGAGCGCGCGGGGAGCCGGGGTGCGGAGCGCGTCCCTCCCCATGGAGCCCTCGGGGCTGGAGCAGGAGGGCCCGGGCCAGACCCACCCGCACCACGAGCCCATCAGCTTCGGCATCGACCAGATCCTGAGCGGCCCGGAGCAGGGCGGCTGCTTGGGGCCGGCCCGCCCGGCGGGGGAGCCGGACTACGCGCTCTACGGGAGCGGCTGCAGCGGCGCGTACAACCCCGCCTGCTCGCTGGGCTCCTACAGCCTCAGCCGGAGCATGACCGTGGCCCCGGGGGGCCCCGCGGGAGGGGTGATCCGGGTGCCGGCGCACAGACCCCTTCCCCCCGCGCCAGGGGCACCCGCCGCTCCCCCGCAGCCGGGGGTCCCCGGCCTCCCCAGCCTCCCCTTCCCCTGGATGGAGAGCAGCAGGCGCCTCGCCAAAGACCGGCTTTCAGGTGAGCCCCCCGCCAGCTCCCTGGCCCGGCTGGCAGAGCCCCGGCCCGGCGGGGAGCGCCCGATCCCCGCCCCTCTCTCGGGAGCGCTCAGCCAAGGGGCCCGGACGGGCATGAAACTGGGCCCGATCCCGGCAGGTGCCGAGCGCTCCTCGCTGACATCCCCGGCCGGATCGGGCTCTGCCGCCCTGTGTCCGCAGGGCTTGTGCGGGACGGGGCTGCCCGGCCCTGGGCAGGGAGCGGCCAGCGGCTCCGCGCCCCGCAGCATGAACCCGGGGCGGGGCGGGGCAGGGCGGCGGCTCCGGCTGCTCGCCCCGGGAAGAGTCCGGCCCAGAACAGGCCTGGCCAGTTCGGTGCCTCGGCTCCGGGGCAGAGTCAGCGACTGTTCCCGGACCCCGCTGCCGGGCCGCCAGAGAACCAGAACGAGGAGCGCGGACCCCGCACCGGGGAAGTTCCCCCTGCCCTTGGTTGGGGCATCCGGACATCCCCAGCTCAGCGGGGCCCTGGCCGTGACACGGCTGCCGGCGGCGGGCGCTGCAGGGGAGATCTCGGCCAAGGAGGCAGGATTCCCGCTGGAACCGGAGCCGGGCCCCGGGGGGACGCGCCTGGCGAGCGCCCTGAATGCCCCGCCGGGTCCAGCGCGGTGCGCGCCCAGTGACAGCGGTGCGGCGCCCAGGGGCTGTGCCAGGGCGCGGCGGCCGCCCCCAGGCCCCGGTGTCCCAGCTGCGGCTCTCCGCCCAGCGCCCGGCGTGGGCACGGGCTGGGGGAGGGGCAACCCCCCGAGCCGGGTCTGGGGAGAAACGTCCCCGGATGCGCGGGCGATTCGGAACCGGCTCCGGCTCACGTCGCTGTTTCCGGACCCGCCCGGTCCTTTCGCCGCCCACTCCCCGGGGACCGGCAGTCGGGTCCCGCGGCCCCAGGCCGGGCTCGCTG